GCTCAACTATGCTATAACCACACGTATCCTTAAAAGGTTTTGTAACAAGAAAGAAGCAAAAACGCTGTATTTCTAAAAGAGGAAATCATCATATTTTAAATAAAAGAGTGTTATTTCTAGGAACGCCAATCAACAGGATGCTTCCCAAAAATCGTCACACAGCAGTGGTTTTCCATCAGTATCCGTTTCGCATTTTAGCTCCTGGAAAACTATTACTACCAAATGACAGAAAGGCTTATTCCTCTCCAACAAATCACTATTCCCACTGATGGCAGTAAAAAAAACCCTATGTAATTCCATAAAGCTCTATATTAGTCCAACACCTTTTCTGAAAGGATTAATTTATTTGACCTGTATTAACTTAAAAGCTGAAAGCCCAGAGATTCACAGCAGTAACTGCTGAAGAAAGATTGCTAGGTTGGAAGCTTTCAGAAATAAACCATTTCAGTTGCATAGTTAGCAGAAATAACTCAAGTTGAAATACTTTTAAATCATTTATTTCAGCAAGTATAAGCCCATGTTCCAACTTCCTTCCATTGTGAGACAGGAAATGGGCAAGTACCTCCCTGGAAGTCTGCGGTAAATATTATGGTCACATTTACACAGCCACAGCCTCAAAGCAGCAACAGCCAATTTCTTTTATCAAAGACTAAAAATCTGATAACATGACCATGGCAGGACACAGCAGAGTAGCATGCAGAGCCTCTAAACAGAGATTACTCTGGTGTTTTGGGGTTTGCTAGCACTGATTGAGCAGCAGTTCCACAAGTCTGTGCAGGTTTCCGTTGAGCACATTTTGGGCGTTCCAGCACTAAGGATTAGCTCAGCCACAGAGCTGCTCAAATGCAGAGAGTCACCTCACACTGGTGCCAAAACAATACACACGTCCCATGGAACACAGAGTACTTGAGCATGCAGTGCCGATACACTCCAGCACCTCCTGCAAACTCAAATGTAACTAAAATTGGAGAAAGACTGGACCAAACCACTGGAAAAGTTACCCACCCTTACTGAAACGACTACAGAGAGATCAGCAGTGCTCATTTTAAGCACCTCATTTGCCATGACTGCAGGACTCCCACTTTTACTGCCTGTAGTCTGCTCATCTCCCTGCTGCTGTAGCTACATTAAAAAAACCCCAAAGCTTTCCTGGTGAATCCTAAGCCTTAACTGCAGTAGGGTGAACCCCTGCTCTAAGGGCAAGGAAATATGTGCAGGCAACAGTCAGCTCCAGGATGGACAACCCAAGTCCTGGTAGGGAAGAGACCAGGAACAAGCAGTAGAACAGTATTGCACAGATTACACCTAAATCTATGAGGCAGCAGACCTACTAGGTGAGCCAAACAGCATATCCCACACATCAGCATCGAGCCTGAAGCTGTAAGTTTACAGCACACACTGAGCCGCCTCCACATCAGCTCAACAGGCCCAGGGAACATTCTCGGCAGCGTGGCAATCACTCTCCCTGGCCTGGTTTTACCTTGTGACCATTATCACTTTCCCAAACAATTCCTGGCTCTGTTCAGGGACACTCCCAGTGGGCAGCCTGCCTTCAGCTATGTGTTGGTGCGTAATCAAGCACAGCCCTTGCAATCAACTCGGAGTGAGAGTTCAATAGCCTGGACAAAAAGAATTGCACTCCACTCTGCTTCAGTGCAAGAAAACACACTGGAACATTTAACTTCCTCCTATGAGTAAGCCTTGGCTGCCTAGATTTTGTGGAGATACAGAACTACTTTGGATAGTGTTACTACAATAGCTTGAATTTAAGCAGTATCTGAAAACTACAATGTCTTCAGATTTGGGGGCATAGAGGTGGGTTGTGTGCTGGGGCACTGGGGTAAGAGGACAGACAGAGAAGGGGAAGACAAAGGTAAGACTAGCAGGCTTTCAGACAAGCCAGCACTCCCAACATTCCTTTCCCTAGCAGTTTAAATGCCTTAAAGTGTCCAAAAAGGAGGTTTAGTACCTCAGTGCATCACTTCATAACAAACCATACCTGTAAGGATGTTCTTAAAGGCTTCTTCTACATTTGTTGAATCCAGAGCAGAAGTTTCAATAAAAGATAAGTTATTTTTTTCTGTAATAAATAACAAATGGTTTAGTTAAGAACTTTAATAGCTTTTATTTCTAGGCTTTCACCTTATTTTTAAGCAAAATCATCTAGCATCTGGTCTCATTAGAACCTGGCCTTGACAAAGGAAACACTTTATGTTGCAATGTTCTATACTGAGATTGGATTGAATAATCTCAGAAGCAACGAGAATTTGAAATCCTGTCCACAATCAGAAGTTCAGTTCATTTGAAGTGAAATAGTTATTTTCAAAACTTACAGTGCACATCAGAATCCCTTTGAATTTATTTTTTCCAAGAACACTTTCTCCTCTAAATGTTGCTTACTGCTTCCAGCGCAGCTAGAGGAAGTGTTTACGCTCCAGCTATCAGGCAGCTCAAGGACAGTGTTTCAAAAACATGTACTACAAATAGATTTTTTAAAAAATACTATTTCATAAGCCAAGATATTCTCCATTAAAAAAAGAACGTTAAATACTTTTATTAAGGGCCAAGATAAAACTTAAGGTGAAAGCTCAGCCCTGGATGTGATCGGAGCAAGTTCAGAAAGCCCCAGCTCTCTACAAACCTGCAAAAGCCCGGGCCTCGTCAGTGGGGACAGCTCTCAGATGGCGAAGGTCACTCTTATTGCCCACCAGCATGATGACAATGTTGTTGTCTGCGTGGTCTCTGAGCTCCTTTAGCCAACGCTCCACGTTCTCGTAGGTGAGGTGCTTGGCAATGTCATAGACGAGGAGGGCCCCCACAGCCCCACGGTAATACCTGAAAACAGGAGGTACATTTCTTACGGAGAGCTGTGTCCTAGAGTTATGCCAGACTCCATATCTGGTTCTTCTACACTGTTTACTACTAAAAGAACTTAAAAACAGCACCCTCTGGCCCTCTGGAAAGGAAGTTGTGCTGATGCAAATACTGCCTTTTTTTTTCCCCCTCCCCTCCTCCAAACAATTCCTTAAAAAAACCAAAGTACCAAACTGGTGGGGTTTTTCTCATGGTATCTCCAGAGAATACAATTTTATTCAACAAAATGCTGAAGACCATGGAAGCTGTGACTCTGCTAAAAAGAAATAGATACAACCAGAGGTCACATCTTAAAACATTACCTGGCTTAACAAGCTGCTGTACTTGAAAGCTTCCCAACACCATTGTCCTAAGCAGGGACATGTCCAGTGCTGCAGATTCAGCATTTTCACAGTTGCCTTCCCTTTTACTAGATGTATAGTGTGTTCTCAGCTGTAGTTTCCAGCACTATGAGTAACTCAAACTTTTTTCATTGTACCAGTCAAGTAGCACAAAATTATTTGCTCTGTTATGATACAGACCAACTGAAGTGGGGAGACTGAAGTTTCCCCTAGCAATTTTGTCATGCATCCCAATTAAGTTTCAGCGATTTTCTACCTGTGAATTTACCTATAGGATCTTCACTAAAGTTCTCCTATTAGTCTGAGAAATAAAACAAGCCCCACAGTACTCACGCTGAGGTAATGGCCCGGTATCGCTCCTGTCCTGCAGTATCCCAGATCTGCGCTTTTATCGTCTTCCCATCCACCTGGATGCTCCTGGTGGCAAACTCCACCCCAATGGTGCTCTTGCTTTCCAGATTGAACTCATTGCGTGTGAAGCGTGACAGAAGATTACTCTTGCCAACGCCAGAGTCTCCAATCAGCACAACTGAAAGAAGACATGTTATTTTCAAAATTAATTCTTCACCTGAGAATTTGTATGGAGCACTGCTGCTTCCTGGCTGCTGTGTTTGCTTGCAGGGAGCACCCAGAGCAGCTGCACAGGCAGATAAATAAGAGGAAATCATGCTGACAACACCTCAGATTTTACTACACATACATGTGCTTCTCGCCAAACAGCCCCCAAACCTTTAGTTACTGCTCAGTTCCCCAAGGATGGAAATGAGGAATAGCTACAGGCCACCAGCAGTAACTAAAGGGAGCTGTGTGTCTCCCTGAGTACTCAACATGTCACGGAGCCTCCAAGAACTTGCCAACAGGCAACCTACCTGTGCAACAGGAGCCCGCACACACTGCAAACCTGTCCCCTTTCTGCACAGAACCCCACTAGAAGCAACCTGCATTCCCACTGGGGTCACACCGCATGGTTTATCTGGGCAATTTAATAAGCTTGCTCACACGAAGGCCAGGGCAGCACAGGAGGCTGCCTGACTCCACAACCAAGATATGAAACAACAACAAGAATTTTTCTCACACAGCAAAAGGAGCTCTAGTAGGTGCAACAAGGAGCAGAGGATGAGTTAAAAAATCTGCCTCCACACCAGGCGTTGCCATGTTAACAGAGAAAAACCCGAGTGCAGAACAGACCTTCAGCTCCAGACCCAGCTTTGCCGAGGAGGACGGTGGAAGCGGAGGGACGGCCGCGCCGAAGCCGCCCGCGCGCCGCTGCCCCCATCCGCTCCCCTTCCCGGCAACGACTCCGAGGACGAGACTTGCCCGACTTGGTTCTTTACTGCGTTGGTAAAGAAACTACACGCGTTTCCTTAAATCCTGACATCACTGAGCACAGCAGGCAATAATTAAATGGGAACAAGCCTAGGAGCAATTAAGCCAAATTCCTTTTGTCTCGGGGAATACCATGTAATCCACAACTGCAGGTATTCGAGCTAACAGATTCCAGCTTAAGCAGAAGGAAAAAGGCATTTGTAGAGATGTTTCTTTAATCTTGGGAATATTTTCCATTTCTGTTCAAAATACTCATTTGCTGATTTCTCTCCAACACGCCCTGCTTTTCCTATATGAAAGCAGGGATGGGCACACAGCAAATGGCATCCTCTTCTCTCCGAAGAGAATTAGAGAACGCTCTCCTGATTACACCCTTTCAGAATTAGCTCTCCCAGGGCTGCAGATCATGCCAGTCATCTCGTGTTATCGAGGCCGTTTTATGCTCGGGCCCTGGTTCACAACACGGCTTTGGCAGCTGCAGCTCCCGTCCCTCCCCAGCCTGTTCCCACATTTCCAGCTCCGGAGCTGCGCCAAGCATTTCAGCAGCCTCCCCAAACTGACCCACCGGCATTTCCTGCGGCTGACAGCACAGATAGACCAACAATTGTGCTAGCACAGCTGAAACAGCCGAAATACAAGGGAGGCAGGAGCCAGGGCACGTGGCAAAGTGCCACAACTCCCCACCCGGGAGAGCTTAGACTGGCTCCTCACAGTGTTCCGGCTTCGCTGGCAAACAGCCTAAACAATGTTTTAGGGCATAAGAACAGATATGGAGGGAAAAAAATGAGATTTTATAAATGGTTGCAATGCTAAAATGTTGGGTTCTTCCACCCCCTTTCCTCTGGAGGGGGAATATTTCATGCCTATCATCACTAATTCCATGGCGTGGACCAGCAATGGACCAAGGGTCGCACATTTTGTACAGACAGCAGAAGGCTGCACCATACAACCAGCCCCTGCCCCTCACTAAAACAAGGTAAGAGTATTTCTTAGACAAGCTTTCAGCTCTTTCCAAAGGGAGTCATCTGCTAATGAAGCTGTGACTCAAGAAAACAGGCCTCTCTTCAGATCATACAGTCTTTAACCTTTGGCATTTTAAAGTTATTATTTTCATGCATAAACAGTGCAAGCGACTCCTGGGTCACTAACTCCACGTGCTGCCGGAAGAAAATTCAGGGTTCTGGCACTACCTTCCCTACCTGCTTCTGCTGCAAGGCTACAAATGCAATGCTGCTTCTAAGGAAGAGTTTTAGAGAAGTTAATGAATGCACAAAGGCAACCAGATTCAAATTAAGTAACAAAAAATATAGGTTTATCCTACGCTATAATCTCCAAGTGCCTCTTCACTTCTCAATCTGGAGCATTAAAGAAGTATTTCCTCTCAGGACAGAAGAATATACAAAGACTAGGGGCCCAGAGACTTTATTTTCTATACGAATCCAGCATGCGGGTAGCAATAATATGTTGGACCAAAGTGATTAAATCTTGGAGAGCTCTTAAATTTGGAAATAGGCAACTAGACTGGGCTGGCTGTTTACCTGCAGAATTACCTACAGCGTTAAAAAGAAAACTGCAAATCAAGCATAAGAACATGAAGAGCCGAAATAACACTCCTTAAATGTCCTTTATGCCCACACTGACGATTCAAAGGTGCCCTGCTTTTAACTTGGAAATTATTTGAGCCAGATTTATGAGCACAAAGCGTCATCAGATGTCTCCGAGTCTGGTTTACACCCCGAATCGCTGCTCCTTACATCTTTCTTGGCTTTGATGTCTCCTCTACGCCAGTTTGCTGCTTACCATTCCCCACATTACCTGTCCCTTCCACGGAAAGCCATTAAAGATGTCACTTGATTAACATCAAGTCACCAGTGTGGCACTTAGTGAGACCCAGACCTACATCTGAGCAGATCCCACTAACCAGACAACCTGCTTCACATTTTGGCATCCTGATACAAAGTAAAAGAAAAAATTAAAATCAAGAGCAATAAACTGTTGTGTAAAGAACAATTATAGGATCAAGTTTATTGCACAATTTTCAATACATGGTTTATTAAAGCAATGAAATTTTTAAAGAATCAGTAGGACTGAGACTTTTCTGCAAAGACCACATCAGTGAAGATCATTATAAACGCTAATCACTTAGGGCTGCCAGATATTGATGAATAATATAACATATGTTTGCATTTATTAGCCACCTCCTTTGTTAGGCTCAAATTCTAGCTAGAGCAGTCTAATGTCCATAAAGGTAAAGGGAAGAGCCTTTTCTGTGCCTTTTCCCTCCCTTTTCATGAGCCAGTACAACTGCACATTCTCGAATTTAATTTTTAAAATAAACATCTGTAATAGTTAATCTTCTTAAGAAGAAAATTAACGTGGAGATCACATTTTAATAGGTACAACACCGCCAATAATTTAAAAATATTAAAAGGTCATACGTTCAGTTCCAGATGCAACCCATTCAAAATACAGTTAAAAGTTACTACTTTTTAACCTTACAAACTGCAAAACTAATTTGGGAACAGGCAGATCCCTAAACTATTGGATTTGCTTGGGTGACATTTCCAAAATGCAGCTACAGTGCTCACAATTTAACTCTCCCATGCAGCATGGCATAGAGAATCCAGCTTCTTCTCCTAAGGGCTGGCATTTTGTTAACAAATAAGTTTGTTTTGGTCAATAAAACAAGCAGTTCTTACTATAGGGGCTCATCCATAAGACAGGGAAATTGGTAATAAAGATAAAGAGGAGCCAATTCATGAGAACAGCTTGACTATAACCACACTCACATCCCCAGAATACCACTGAACCTTAAATTAGTTTTGGCCCGCGGCTTGCTAGACCCGATAAGCCAATAATATACACATTTTTCAAACAGTCCCACTAAAACGGTCATTCCTACAAACACAACACGAGGGATGACACCAAGAGTCATTCTTTGGTGTGAATGGCAAGCACAGCGAGCCAGCTACAAGCATAAACTGTTACTACAAAAGCCTCAGTCATTTTCACCCCAAAGAGGTTTTTAAAAACATTATTTCTCATGAAAGAAGCTAACAATAAATCAGGCTCTTTGACTTTTTAAAAGAAAACATTCATGAGGTTGATAGAATCATCACTGCTAAAGAAAAAAAGCCACAGAAGCAATTGCAGATCTCCCACTACATAAAAAGCTAAAAGCTGAGGGTCTAAAGCCATACTGGTTGCCATCACAGATGCACTAAACATTACGATGCAATTAGGCAAATTTCTTTAACAAGCTGCAAATCTAAAAGAAAATCAGAGCCCAACAACACTTCTCTTGGGAAAGGGTGGGAAAGGGAAACAGTCAAAACTTAAAGTCAACTTCAGATATAAGAAAATGAAAATAATCCTCCCTGGAATGCAGCCCTCCTCTATCATTATTTCTACCTCTGCAGAAAAGAGTTCAAAAGCCAAATATTTCTATCGCTAAGAGGGGGCTGCAGCCACTCCAACCCCTCTGCCATTACCTTTTTCATTATGTTAATTCCCCTTGATATTTAATTCCATTATTGAAGGGGGAGGAAGGGAAAGGAAAAGGACTTAGTCCTATTCATTTTTCTTATTACAACACAGACATGATCCCACTTGATCCTGCTTATATTCATTATTCCTTGTCTGGTCCCCAAAAGGCCGGAAGGAAGGAAAGATGACCAGATAAGACAGGCTTTTTTTCCTGTTTTGTTTTCATACAATCATCCCTACCCAAAGGGCACACAGAAAAAGGACAGTCCCCTGCTCTTTTCCCATTAAATAAAGTAAGAGAAAGCATGCCAAGTTTCTTTGCAGGATCCATACGATCCCTGCCCAAGCAGGTTAAAGTCAACTTTCCCTCTCGATAAAATCAAAATTGCATCTCAAAGCAGTGTAAGTAAAGATGAGTGTGGCTTTGCCCACCTAAATATTTGCAGAAAGAAAAAGAAAGAAACAAATTTGGGGATGTTCAAGCTCCCAGGTAATGATGCTGCTTGGGAAAGAGATGGTGGAATTACTTCAGAAGGAAACTAGCTGCAGATCCAGACAGCTCTGGCTGGACCCTCTGCTTCAGAGGTAGAGAAGAAATAAAGACAGATAGATACATTTTTGTTTTGGGGTTTTTTTTTTGTCCCCTGTCTGGAAGACTGAAAAATAGGATACCCCAAACAGGCAGAGGCACCCCGAATGATTATGGGAAATAATAATCAAAGATATTAAGGCAAGTTGGGCAACAAGCTTGGTTCGAAAGCTACCTGCCTTCTCCCTACAGGCCGAAGTCCAGGCCCTGGAGCGCTCCGAGGAACAGGTCAACCCTGGCACGTTCTGGAGCACAGGGAACATCAGCCTTCTGGGGCAACACGCGCACCTGAGCCATGTCATCCATCCCAGGGGAAGGGAGCCAAGGGGACACCAGGCTGGTGGCCCCGGGGCCTGCGCTGTCACACAGCTCCAACACGCTGCTCTTGGGCGACCAGGAGCTCCACAAGCACCAGGCCAGGTGGACTACCCAAACTCCAGGTAAGGCAAAATTAGCTCTTACCACAGCAAGCTTGGTGCTTTTTGTATGTATATATGTATATATCTATACATTTTTACACTATTAACCACCAGTCACCAACTCCTGAGCAAGCTCTAGCTTTGCCCTGCCCCTCACCCGAGCCCAGGGCAGTTTCTGCCAAACACCCCCGCGCCCAGAGGCCACTGCTGCCCTCGGGACGGGAACGCGGCTCCCACGGAGGAAACGGGCCCGTTCCGCGCACCGAAAGTGGCGGGGAGGCCCCGAGAGCGGCGGAGCG